AGAAGGGATCCGAGGTAGGTTTTATTTGATCTATTCTGGGAATGGATCCTCCCTGAAGAAAGGGTTTATGGTAGACTTATTTCCCAGAAATTGTTGCTTTCGGTCAGATGAGAGAAGCTCTGAGAAGGCTTCTTTCTGCATCTGTTGAATCTCAAACGTCTTCAGCTTAAAATAATCTTGATCCCAACTCTGGGCTTCTGAGTGGGCCCTCACATATTTCGTCTGATAATTTTCCAGAAACGTTTTACTAATTTATACCTCCACCAAGCAGAGGGGGTTGTGTATTCTCATTTTGAAAATTCCTTACTGATTTGATAGATTAAAAATTGATCTAATTTTTACTTTGTAAAAATAAATGAACAACTAGAAGGACCCACAACTAGAATATACATCTATGTACTGGGGGATTTGGGGAGAAAAAGCAGGGAAAAAAAAAGATTGGCAACATTGTTAGCTCAGGTGCCAATCTTTTAAAAAAAAAACAAAGTGAGATTAAGCCTTTTAAAAAAAATTGTTTACATATTTATTTCCTTTTTTAGTGAATTATATTTTCATGTTCTTTGCCTATTTTTATTTGCTAAAAAAATTTACTAGTAAATTAAAATCCTTCAGATTTTAAGTGCTAAATTGTTACATTAGAATATTTATAAGGACAAACTGAAAAAATTGTGTCAAGAGAAGTAAGAGTTCATTTAATTGTCAAATTCCTTAATAATTCTGAAAGCACAGAAGGGTCAGTTTATTGAAGGAGGACGATTTTGATTGTTACTCTCAGTGAAAATGTGAACCAATATCCAATACCAAGTTTTCTTAAAAAACAAACTCTGTGGATATTTAAAATTAGAGCTCTAAATCCCAAGGACGCTAATCTTCTAACAGCCTTGTGCGACGTCCCAAATACTTTAGAAATCCCAAATTACAACTTTGTGCTTCAACTTGATTACACTAAGTGTGCCTCACCCCACAGCTATGACCCCAAACCAATATTTTCTAATTTGCTAAATCTCCTATATTTAACTTTCCTCTTCAGCCGCAACCAATTAAAAGAAAACACTAAATTGCTCTGCAGGACGCCACTCCCTCTTTCATGTGTGACACGTCATCTGAGATTAAAGCAAAAGAACTTGTTTACACCTTTTCCAATGTTAAATAACCTACAGATTTTCCTCTGAGATTTACAAATGTGTTTTCCAGAATTCTACAGCAGTATATATACAAGGTTGGCTTGTCAGATTAAATTTTTCCCTTCCAGTCTCATTTCCTACTGTAAAAGTCACTTGTCAGGGCCTGGCCCAGTGCCTGCCGTGACTAGTTCAATAACCGTTTGTTGACTGTAGTTGATTTAACCACCGGTGCAAGTGAAATGGCTCTTTAACTCTGGTTGTGTTGACAATTCTTTGTAAACTCATGCTGAATTTTATTGCTGACCAAAAGCAAGAGAGCTGTGGGCTAGTCTGGCGGAGCGATCTGAGCTCACCCCGTGCCCGCCCCACCCACACCTCACTCTTCCTGCTTCCCTGGAGGCTTGAGATGTTCTCCCCACTAGGGTAGGCCCTCGAGATTGTTCCAAGCACGCCGGTTTGAGAGCAGAGTCTTTGCCCACAGACTCATTTGAATAAGCTGCGCGCCCCTGCCAGCTCACCGTTGCAGCTGCTGCAGGCCCCTCCCCGGGTTTGGGGGTGGGCAGAGGGAGGGGACAGAAGGTAGAGACCGTCCCAGCTCCTTCCTCCACCTACCTGCCCCTGAAACGGCTCTGTCTGCTCTCCAGGGGTTGCAGAATGAGCAGGAGGCCCGCTCTGGCCAGCATGCTCTCACAAGAATCTGCCAGCTTCTCCCGAGGAGTTCAGGGCCTGAGCTTGGCCCCAAGTCCAGTCAGCTGAGCTCCGGCTGGGCTGCCGAGGCGCCTTGCTGCTCAGACCAGGCAGCCCAACATCTGGACCAGTACCCTCATGCGCAGCTGGCCCCTTGGCCCACTCCCCAACCCCAGGCCTCCCCACTGCGATCTCAAAGGCTCCAGTCTATAAATGGTGTTGTCTGTCGCTGCAGAGGCTAACCCCGGGCCCTCCCCAGGCATTTCTGCAGCTGAACTAGAAGAGAGTAGCCACCTGTTCTTCTCTGGCTCTGTCCTCTGACCAGTCCACCTAAACCTACCTGCAGGAAAACGCAGAGGCTACTGGTTTGGGGCCATCATCCCTGTTTCTATCCTGCAGGCCAAGGGAGGCCCTGGGCACGATGGCAATGCCTGTTTTGGAACTTCTGCCCCAGTCTCCTGGCCTTTCCATCTATTAGTGGGGGGCTCTGCTCCACTGTCTCCTTCCATTCCCTTCCCTTTCCTAACTGAAAAAGTTAGAAATATTTTTTCTATATTAAAAGATACAAATTTTAAAATATATATTAATATATAAAATATTTTTTCATTAACTGAAAAATGTTAGTTCCAGAATATATATATAACTTGCACAAATCACTGATGATAAGAAAATGACTGTGTCCAAAAAATGGGCAAAGGACATGAACGGGTACCTCACAGAGGAAGAAACACAAAGGCACCGAAACATGTGAAGACTCCCACTCAGCCTTGTTAGAGACCAGAGAAACAGAGCATTACCACCCAGGTACCATTGCGCACCTAACAGAGAGGCTGGAGCGTAAGTCTGAAACACCCAGTGGAGGTGAGAATGTGCACCAGCTGGAACTTGTCTACACTGCCGGCTTCAGAGCCACGTGGGAAGACACCGAGGTGCGATGTTGTCCAGTTGAGCATGCACATGCCCTGCAAGTCAGCAATGCCAGTTCCACGCATTTACCCATGAGAAATGCTTGAGCATGTGCACTTGAAGGCAAGCTCAAGAATATTCCAAGAAGCAGCTTTCATAAGAGCAAAGAGCTGGACAGCAGAATACTATGCTTTAGCCCTAAATACCCAGCAGTGAAGACAGAGGAACCATGGCTCCCCACGTCGGTGTGGCTGTACCTCAGCAACATGAAGCTGAGAAAGGCAGGTCCAACAAGACGACGTGCATGAAGTATCACACCATTTCTCAAAGCGTAGAAACAAGCAAGCCCAAACAGTGTATTACTTAGGGAGGCCCACCCAAAATGATATAAAATACCTTAAGTCATGCAGGAAATGACAAGCACAAAGGGCAGTGTAGGGGTCCCTCTGTGGAGAGGTCAGGGGGGAGAGGGAGTCCCACACGAGGGGCTGCAAGCTTGCCGTGTGTTGGCTGTGTTCCACTTTGTAAGTTGAGTAAGGGGTTCACAGCTGTTTGGATTCTTATTGTTTTATCAGTTGGGTGCATGTAATATTTTAATGTACCGTACAGTGCCTTATGTGAAGATAGTGGGGACTGTAGAAGGAGGTGCTCGGCCACCCGGAACCTGTCAGTGGAACTCCTTTAATTTGCGCTCGGACAATCTGACTCGGGATTCCAAACTCTTAAACCTACCTGGTCATGATGTATAGTGGTCTTATTAAAGGTGATTTTAAGTTGAAAACAATCCCTGAGGATAATAATTGGTGTGGGTATCACGGCTCAGGCTCGCTGCTTTATCCCCGCCTGTTACTCCCCCACATCTTAGAGAAGAAGGGGAGCTGAGTGCTGGACACGCAGACCGCGGAGCAGGGCATTGCCAGGCCTCTGGGCGACCTCTTCACTGACCCACTGTCCTGGCCTGGCTGATGGTTCCTCTCATGGAAGTCACTCTTTGGGGCTCCACAATACGCTGCAGGCTGTTTCCCAAATCCACTGAGGATGTCCCCTGGCCCTGCCCCGTTCGTGCACTTCCAGGGGTCAGCCTGTCAGAATGGCACAGAGCCCTTTACTTCCCGGGAGAGGAGCTGGAAGGGGCAGGTGAGACTGTGAGTCCTTGAATGCTGGGAAGCTGGGGGAGATCAGACATCATGGGCAGTCTGGGGGCAGGGAATGGGGAAGCAAATCACCTTCTGGAGGAGTGAAGGCAAGGGGGACACACAGAACCAGGGGGCCACTGAGAGCTATGGAGGCACGCATCAGAGACCCGCAAGAGCTGAGTGGGAAGCTTTCCTTTTTCACGGAGGAGGCCCCCGATGGGGAGGAGTCGGGGCGATGGCAGACCTGAATGAGTCCAGGTCTTCAATTCCCAGCCCAGTGCACGGTCATGACAACCCGCCCTTTCCTTCTCCGCAATTCCACCCAGAGCCAGCCCCTCACATAATATCCAAAATGGGGAGATAACAGGGTTCCAGTCATTGGGAGGGATACGTAAGCCCCATCAACTGAGGAAGGGGCTGTCATTCTTAGCATTCAAATTGGGGGCTATCAAAACTTTAAGACTCACAAAAGGGTAGACTGAGGTCCAGAAATTCATTCCAAGAAGCACAGTGGCCAGTCTAGGTTTCAAACTCAGTCACTGAATCTTCTCGAGTTTCCTGGCTGGCGAGCCAGGTATGTCTGACCACCGCAAGCCATCACTTTCCCTGTTTATTGTCTCCCTGTGTGCAGGTGAGCGGAAGCAGGAAGAAAGCCTTCCTGTCTAGCAGCTGCACACCCAGCCTCACTTCTCCAGCCTGGCTTCCCTCTCCACAACTCCATACAGCCTCCAGCTCAGGGCGCCCAAATCAACCACCTGTGGGGGTAAAGCAACAGTGCTGTTCCCTGGCTCCCGGCCGGGCTCCCAGGATGTGCGTCAGAAAAAGCCAATGAGTGAAATTCCAAAGCAATGTGAGTCACCGAGGAGGAGGAGAGGCCAGGACAGAAGTCGGAATGAGAGCCTGAGGACAAACCAAAGGCAGGGCCCCAGGGCCAGGGTCTGGGCCGAGATACCAAGAATGCTCACCTGTTCAAAGATGGGAATGGGACCTCCTGCCCGGGTGGCTTATCTCTGGGCTCTGCGCAGCCCTAGATGGGGAGGGAACTAACCAGGAGGCCAGCCCTCTGGCCCCACCCCTGGATATGGTAACCATGTCCCTCACCTGGCTCCCCATAGGCTGGGCTTGGGTTCTCAGCCCTTAAAGTCCATGTATTGTTTCCTCACACATTCCCTCCCACTGACCTGGCCCAGGACACTACTCTTGGACAGGGAATGGTGACAGGCCAGCTCGGTCCCAGAGGAGAGGCAGCAGGTAAGTCTACGACTCACACCCCACCAGTCCGAGACCACCCCGGGCTCTTTCTCTGAGCCTAGGTGCTCCCCTGTCTTCACCTGGTCCTTCCCAGCACTCAGGAGGATGTGCGGGTCTCAGAATGCAGTCTCCTCGGAAGGAGGGAGATGTGAAGGCAGCACCAGGGGTGGGTGGGGTAAGGAATCAGGTGTCTTACCCATCGAGGTATAGCAGCCCCTCAACTGTGGCCCAGCAACCCGAGGCAGCCAGTCTCAGGGCAGGCAGTGGGGGGTTCCACCTGCAATGGGAGAACCCGGAGGGAGTGTCTAAGGGGCCACGAGTCAGCGGCAGGCCTGGGTTCCCCTCTCCTTGTGAACCTGGCGAGGAGGGAAGGGGAGGCAGTGGAGCAAGCGGCTGACCAGGCATGTCTCTCTAACAGCCCGGTTCATCCCAGTCAATCAAAGGCACCCCTGGCCAGGACGGAGCCAGGGCAGCCTGTGACTCTGTGGCTGCCTAGGCCCTCTCGCCTGCTCTGTCTTCTGTCCCTCCCCAACCTGCAGGGCCACTGCCAATTCCAGCGATGCCTCCATGAGGCCAGTTATCCTGTGCTTGGCCTCTCCTGCCTGCTCACCCTGGCCTCTGTGCAGCCCCTGAACAGCTCCTCTCACTCTTGGAGCTCCCCAACCCCTCAGGCAGTAGGATGCATTTCTCCAAACAGGAACTGAGCAGCATCCTTAGCCCTAATTCTCACCCTCTCAACTTGGTGCCTCTTTCTATTCCCACCTGGCCAAGGACTCTCAGGCTTGCACTGGGAATTCCTTCCAGGGCAGCAGAGACCCTGGGCCAGCCTGCGGTCACTTCCTGCAGAGGAGTAGCTGAGCAAAGGAGCTCCTTTTGTTCTAGGCAGGGACCAGGCTGAGGCTAAGGCTTCTTGGGACCTGAGGGTGTCCCTTCTAGGCTGCGGCCACTCAGACAAGGGGCCAAGGCTGAGAGGTGGGTGGCCATGGGCATTAGCAAAGGTGGAGATGGGTACAGCCCATAAGTGTCAGCCTGTCTAAGAGGGGCTGTGTGAAGTGACCATTTAAGGATCTAGCTGACCATGTTCACAGTTAACCTTTGCCCAGGGCTCTAAGCTACATTAATTTTACATCTTCTACCTGTCTCCCCATCTCTAGGGCATATTTCCTCATCCCCAGCTGTTGAGACCTGTCAGATCCTCCGTTGCAGATATATATACACATACATGTGTATATATACATACATATGTATATATATACCCCATCAGTTGAGTCAAAATCCTGTGCCTTGAGGCATGAAAACATTTCCACATTCTTGGCTCCCTGTGGGGCAAGGATTGCTGGGTTGGGTGTGGGCTGGGAGAGGGGTTTGAGGCAAGTCTTAGCTAGTCCGTTCCTGCTTCTCTGCTTTCTGTCTCCCTACGGCCACGGAGCTCCTGTTGACCCTCTCCGATGGCAGAAAACAACATTGTATGATAACATCACACAGTCAGAAATTCAAAAGTGGGGGAGGTCATCCAATGGAACCGCGTGGTTTCACGAATGAGGAAATAGAAGCCGAGAGATAAAGTCCGGTGCAGGGGCCACAGCACTGGGCCTGACATGGCCACACACTCCCTGTGTGACTGTGCATGGCCATTTTCCACTCTGGCCCTCAGATTTCTCACCTGTAAGATAAAGAGGGTTATTTTTGTATGAATTAAGAACAACATGTTAATGCTCTAAAGTCAGGGCATGAGGTTGTAAGGGACTCAGGGGCTGTGTGGCTTCCCTGAGATGTTCTGAGCCAGCTGCTGGGTTGGAATCCTTGCTCTGTCCCTCCCGCTTTGCGACCCTGGCAAGCCACAGCACTGCTGGAAGCTTCCATTTCCTCATCCATCAAATGGGGATAATTGTAGCCTTTCCTCAGAGGATTGTTTTGAAGTTTAAGTGAAGTAGTACATGTAGCCCAATACTGGGCATGTAGTAAACTCTTGATAAATTATTGCTATTATTAAAATTAAGGCTCCCTGATGACAGGGATGGAGGTGTTATCATTTTATGATCCTCACAAGCTCTGGCACAGTGTCTGGCACTAGTAGGAGCCTCAGATGCGTGTGATAAGTGAAAGAAAGGATAAATGAGCGAATGAACAAACTAGTCTCACTTTTCTCCAGATGCAGGATGAGTGATGTGACTTGGGTTGCATGGGCAGGTCATGTGCCTTCAGTCTGGAGGGCTGTTGGTGGCCCACACCACCTCTGCCCACAAAATGGCCACTGCGTGGGCCCTGGGGAGGCAGTGTGCGCTCAGGACTCTGACCGAAACCTCCCAGCACCGTGGCTCCCAGTCCTCGGTTCTGCATGGGTAAAACGGTGGTTGGAAGGGACATAAGCCGAGGTCTGCTGGAGCCAGTCTGCTGCCCCAAGGTCTCCCTGCTGGGGTGTGAAGATGGCAGGACGTAAGTCCCCTCTTTACACTGCCTCTGGCTTGAGGAGATTCCTTTCAGAGAGCAAAAGAAAAACAGGGTGGCGGGGGTGGGAGGGGGTGAACTTTCGAGCATGTGGTGAGGCCCAGACTACGAGGCTAAGCTGAGGCATACCTTCCAGTGGCCTCAGAGGGCCCTGAACTGTGTTTCCAAGGGCGCAGCGGCAGCACCCTGCTGCCCCTGCCACCCGGCCGGCTGAGGTCCTGCCCCACAGGCTGTCGAGTGGGCTGACCTGTGAAGCTTTCCCCTCGGTGTCCCGGTGTCAGCTGCCCTGTGGTCTGGCCTGCCTCCCTTCTTCTCATCTCACTTCCAGCCTTGCCCCAGAGCCCAGTGAGCGGGTAATGACCACATCCTGCAGAGCGATGCTTTGGCTGAGACAGGGTGCATTGGAATCTCCACGAAGCTGGGTCCCCTTCTCAGACATTTAAAAACCATGCCCCTGGGAAGGGCTGCAATTTCCCTGGGGTAACTGGCTGCTGAGTGGCTGGTCAGAGCCTGAGAGAGGGCTGTTGGGTCCAGAGAAGGCCAGAGAAATACAGCTGCCCGGTTGGTCGCTCAGAACAGGGATGGCCCTGTTTTCTGGAGCCCAGGCACTGGAGGGCTAGGCACAGATGAAGCAAGCTGGTAGCCAGATCACTGGCCCGGGAGCCGAGATCTTGAGGCTGTCTGGAGTAGCCAGGAGGGGTGAGTTGAGGGTCAGGGTGGGGAGAAGGCCCGGCATCGGCCACAATTGGGGCAGAGCTGAACTGTCACTACCCCAGGACACTTCTGGCCAGCACTCCCTGGCTCCCTGGCTGCCTGCTTCGAGGACCATCCTGGACTGAATAATGCCCAGGAGGGTCCCTCGTGTCCTGGCTGTTTGCCAATCCGCTCAGTTAACACACTGTCCTCTCTTTGACCAAACTGGAGCCACGTGTGTATATGTTTATGGAAATCTCTGCGCAGGAGGTGGGGGAAGGGAGAGGAGAGAATAGGGAGACAAAGGAAAGAAAGAAGGGGAAGAAAGGAAGCGGGCTTGTTGAGGTGATGGAGGGGGTCCTTGTCCCATCCAGACTTTGTGGGGAACATGGAGTCAGGGGAGCTGGGGAACTCTCTTCCTCTGGTTATAAAAGAAAAGGGCCAGAGACTCTTCAGATATCATCCAGGTCAACCTGATTTCACCGGGGACCCCGAGGGGCGGGAACGCGGACTCTACTCCAGGACCTTCGCACCACTCTCTCTCTCTGTTGTTGGAGTCCAAGGACCAAGAGGAGGGCTTGGCGCTGGGGCGAAGGGTGCAGGGTGGCTCTGCAGAGGCTGTTCTGGAGCCCTGCAAGAGGAGCCCAGGGCGCAGGTGAGGACCAGGTCCCTTCCTGGATTGCCCCTGACAATCCTTTACCCTGGGTCACAAGCAGCTACAGCCCCAAACTCACATCTGGTTACGGACATGCAGCAGTGCGCAAGGCGGATCCAGGTTCAGGCTGGGCTGACCTCGACGAGAACACTGAGCCTCCAAGTGTTCACTCAGCAAGCCCTGCCCGCCGGTGGGGCAGCCTCAGGCAAACCAGCCTCACTGCAGGGCCACTACTCTCTTAGGATGCCCCATTCCTGCCGCACACTCCTTTATCTGGAGCAGTGAACAGTAATGCACACTCACAGAGGACCACTTCTGAGGTCAACAAAACCCTTCTGGTCCCTAACATCAATTATTGTCCCTGTGAGCTCTAGCAGAAACTAACTACCAAGGGAGAAAAATGGGTCAGAAGAGAGGAGACTGGACACACACCTCCCCTGCCCTCTCTCCCAGCCTCCTCCCTGCCCTCCTAGAACACCGCAGCCACATGAGGACCTGTGGGGAACAATTGGGGCTTTTTATAATCTTGATTTGTTAACAGTTCAGGCTATTTTTCTTTCCATGCTGCAAGAGATGCCAATGCCTCATGAAAAAGTTGTGAAAAAAAACATGTCTATTTTGGGGTGATCAGCCTCCTCAGAGCTTCTCGCTTGTGGCTCTGCAGAGCTGCAGGAACGGGCCTGCCCTCTCTCAGGAGCTCCACAGCTTGTTTGAAGGACAGAGCTTGGGCCTGGACACATTGGCTGAGGGATGCATTTTTGTCCCCTTCTTGTCACTTTTCTGCCTATAAAACAGGGCAGAAGTAACACCATCTAGCTGCTTTCTGCTGCAGGCCTGCCTGATGGTAGCTTCCGGTGCACTGTCCTGAGAAGTCAGCGTCCCAGGAGACTCAGGGTGGCTCGTGCATTTCCCCCATGGCATCAGTGGTGGTGGTACTTTAAAGACCTAGGCCAAGAAATGCTCAAGTTTCTCTGCTGGACGAGGAGCTGCTTCAAAGCTGCAGCATATGTTTCATGGAGGCCTCAGTCAGCTGTGGCTTCCTGGGAGGAAGGCCAGGACAGAGGGGCTGGGGCAAGTGGGCCAGGGGCTGGCATGCTTGGATCTCTGCCAGCTGGGGCTGGCTGTAGCCTGCTTAGACCAGACCAGCAGAGGGCTCTTCAGTTCTGCTCTGAGCAGCCCGGCCAGCCCCACGGTGCTGAGGCTGTAGGAAGGCTGCGGGGGCTGGCCGGACTTTGAGGATCCCCAGCAGAATTCTCACTCAGGTTCCTTTCGCTGCCTCACCTGGTTTCTTCATTTCCTCAGGAGACCCACCAGGCACCAGGGCCAAGGGGGGCAGGGAACTTTTTGAGCCTAGTGTGTTAGGCTGTCAGAATTCCAGCTCCCTAGCCTTGCCCCATGCCCTCTGGGCTGTCTGCTGGCCATAGGTGGCCCAGGTGGCATAGGCACAAATGGGAGTAGGGTCCCCCTTTACACAGGGGCACAAACCACAGGTCTGTGATAGGGAGAAGCAGAAGTGGAGGAAGAGTTAGAAGGATCACACAGTCTCTGATCTCACTCCTGGAAGGGGCCGTGAGAAGATCATCTAGTCACCCCCTGTCTTCAGGCAAGTAATATTGTTATCGCCAATGGAAGACCAGAGAGATTAAGCTCCTTGCCCAAAGTCACACAGCCAGTTCTTGGTGGAGGGGAGGCCACCAAGGTCGGCACCAACTAGTGCAAGGGCTGTTTCTGTGCTTTAGTTTCTTTTCACTCTGGGCTCTTAGGGCCACGGTTGCCCATATCCCTGCCCGCACCTGGCTCAGGGGCCTCTTCTTCCCTTGGCTTCCTTCTGCCTTGTCACAATCTGCCCCTGGGGGGTCGTCACAAAGATGCTCTTCCATTCCCCTTTAATGACACAGTGCCAACTGCTTCCAAAGGTGCCCAGCTGGCCTCTCCAATCCCTTCCTTGATCATTCCCAATCTCTCCAGAAATTCTAGAGTTTTCTTTGGCTGAACTGGTCCCAAGATTGTGACAGACCATTGACGGAAGCTAAAGGTGGGGACAATTGCAGAATTAGACTCTCTTACCATGTGCCTAATCCCTCCCTCCTGCTCCCAAATGCCTCCTTCTTCCATTCTCAGCCTTGGTGGCCACCAGCTGGTATTTTGCTGAGTCCCAGTTTGGGTCAGGAGCTGCTCCAGTGAAAAGGATGACCAATAAAATACAGGCTTTCCATGCTAGGAACCCATTTCAGACGTCAGTGCTGGAATGCATCTTGGAAGTCACCTGACCCAACCCTTGAAGATGAGAAGGCTGGGTCCCAGGGAGGAGAAGGAATTGTCCAAGGTCACACAGCTGCATGAGGATGGAATCCAGGCCTCCTGATGGACAACAGACCGCTCTTTCCAAATTACCAAACCAGTTCAGAAAGTGCAGATGCCCATAGCATGGGATGAACCCTGACCCTGGTTCTTGCCTCCTGGGTAGCCCCTTGACCCCCTGGGGTGACCTCTGTCTTGGTCCCCAGGCTGGGTGTCTCAGCCTACTGGCCTGGACACTAGGAGCCATGCTCTTGCCCTGAGTAGGACTCTCCGTTTGGGCTGACCGACCTGGTGGTGCCTCTCCGGGTAACTCACGCTGTGCTCATTCCTTCCCCCGCTGTCTTTCCCTGTTTTGCCTCATTCACTTCCATCCAGCTCAACCAGGAGCCCCAAGGGAGCACAGAGCAATGGCAGTTGGAAGGAAAGGCCGGTACGACCTGTGGAAGACCTCTCTGGACAGCACGTGAGTAGCCACTGGGTGGTGTCAACTCCCTCCCACCTCCAGTTCTCCTCCCCAAACATTCATTTATCCATCAAGCATTTACTGAGTGCCTGTTGAGTGCTTGTTGCCAGACCAGCACAAAGGATACTCTTTTGAATAAGCACAGTCCCTTCCCTAAAAAGTTCTCAATATGGAGAGGGAGAGAGACACCCAGTGATAGAGCAGTGTGGTTGGTATTATTAGGGAAGAGCAGAGGCAGGGCAGGGAACCCAGATTTTGTAGGGGGTATTCATGGAAGGCTTCCTGGAGGAAATGACATGTAGGGTGAAACTTGAAGGATGAGTAAGCACTATCCAGGTGAAGTGGGTGGTAAAACGAGCAGTGTTCAGGTTGAGAGAACTGCTTTAGTAAGGCCCGGAAGGGTCCTGCCTCCTTGTGGAGACCTGGAGGTGCCCCCTGAGCCCCGGGCAAGGAGGTTGAGAGACTCCAGGCTTACCAGATTCACCTCCTCCACCCTGCTGGGGCTCTGCATCTTGAGATGCCTCTGCCTTTGCTCTTGGCTGCTTTTGAACTTTGCCCCAAGTGCAGGCTGGCAATGCCGTGTGTCCCAGACTCTGCACACTGCAGGGGAGAGGGGCAGAGCTCACGTTACAAGCCCTGTTGGGTAGGCTTTGCAGAGGCTCGGGTGTTCCAGGACAGGGGTGGAGAGAAGAGAGGTTCGTAGCCTGCAAATAGTCAAAGGGCTGGAGCTGCCTGTGAAGCACATGGACCATGCAGGTTGGAGGAGGGCTCAGTGAGAGGGGTCTGCACAGCTGGCCGGCACTGGGGAGGGGCCACGTGGAGAGGAGGGTTTGGAGTTCTGGCTGAGAGCCTGCTGCACGGGTGCCTTCCTGAGGACCAGGAAGGAGAGCTCTCTCGCCAGACTAGGTCCCCTGCTCATGGACTTCAGGAAAAAGGCGGCACACGATGCCCTTGAGGAGGGTGGCCATGGGGATAGATGGAAGGAGTGCCTTTGGGGACAGGTTCAAGAGGTTTATGTCACTGGGAAGGAGGAGTCACAAGAAGGCTTTGGTAAGGGAAGAAATGTTGCGGGAAGCAGGAGACCACAGTGGAACCAGGAATACCTCAGGCTGCAGCCAGGCATTGCCCTCCCGGGGCGAGTAAGCCAGGCTGTGGCAGGGCATTGCCCAGGCCCATCTGCGGAAAGGCAGTGAGAAGCCCAGCTGGCCAGTGATGTGGGGGAATCAGCAGCCGGTTCTGAGCTGCTCCAAAGAACCACACAAGTGGTTCCACGCTGAGGGAACTGGGCAGATGGGGTTGGGGTGTGGGTGTGTGTGTGTGTGTGTGCATGTATAATAGAAGAAAGAAGGAGGCAGAGAGAGAAAGAGGCTAGGAGCCTTTCTGGAAAAACTTCCCACCAGGCCTGACTTGAGAAGTAATCTGAAGCAAGGAAACTAGATTCCCCAGGCTTGGGGTGGGAGGGGTGCGAGGTAAGGGAGAGTGGGGAGCTGCCTGTGCTGAGATGCTGCTGATGGCTAGAGCTGGGGACTGGGACAGAGCCCACCCAGACTGGGCTGCTGACATCTCTTTGGTTGCTGGCGAGGGACCTGGCCTCAGGGGATGGCCCTGTTTTCTGGAGCTCAGGCACTGGAGGGCTAGGCACAGATGAAGCAAGCTGGTAGCCAGATCACTGGCCCAGGAACCGAGATCTTGAGGCTGTCTGGAGTAGCCAGGAGGGGTGAGTTGAGGGTCAGGGTGGGGAGAAGGCCTGGCATCGGCCACAACTGGGGCAGAAATGGAGGGCAGAGCTTGGTGGTGATCTGCCTTTCGTGTCGAGAATCTTCAGTTGTACTGGGAGGAAAGAGCTGGATCCCAGTCACTGAGCTGGGAGTGAGAAACACCAGGGCCTTGTATACTGGCTTGAGGGAGAGGTCTGCACAGGCTCCCAGACAGCCCAGGGCTGGGCAGTGAGGGATGCAGGCTGACTCTTTCTCCAAAGAGGGAAAGGACCTGGGCCCCAAAGCTGCAGGCCTGGTAGCCTCACAACTCTGGGTGGAGCTCAGTTCTGTTTTCCTGCTCTCTGCTGCCCTGGAGCTGTGCCTGCTGCCAGGACCTGTGAAAGGTTGGCGCTCTGGAGCTGGGTGTGGGGAACAGGGTGCTGGTGGGAGAGACCCTGTCCCCCAGTGGCCCTGGTGGCCCCTGTGCAGAGAGCTCATACTGGGCTTTCCTTTGATGCAGTGAGCTGTGGCACACAGAGGATGGGGTGAGGCTCTTCAATGCCAAAAAATGTGGGAAGAACACACCTGTACACGGTTTAGTTTCTTTGCTAAGCATGTATTCAAACCAATACCTTGTTTTACGGACAGAGGGGCCTCCCCAGAAGTGTGAAGTAAGTAGGACCCTCAGTCATCCCTAACCTCTTCTCCAGCTCTAGGCAGATTCAGAAGGAGGCGCTTACTGAATGTGGACCAGGCCAGAACCCGTGTTTATCACAAACACCTTGATGGGCAACTTCCAACTACACACAATCACACATGGGAAGCATGCTTCAGACCACACAAAATTCACTTTTTATTTGCCTTTTTTTGGCAATGGATTTCTCTTTCTAATCATATTTTGCATAAACTAGTATTAAAGTGGATTTGCATCCTCAGAGCACAAGCTGGAGGTGTGATGGAGAGCGCTGGGCGGAAGGCATGTCAGTCTGGGCTTTAAACACTGTCTAGAAGTAACAGACAAGACGGATAAAACCAGACTGAGCTGACTATTGTAATTACTAGCAGTCAAGATCATCAAAGTCTTACCAGCCTTGAACATGGAAACTTCCTTTGAGGACCACTCATATTACAGATGTCATACCTTACAACTTCCCTATTTTACAGAGGAGTAAACTGAGGCAGAGAGCCCCAAGGTGCCTTAGGTACCATCTCCTGGGCTAGTGTCTTCACAGCATTTCTCTCAGAGGTCAGAAGATATCGGTGAACTCAAAGTGGCAATAAGATGGGGGTGGGATGGAAGCGCAGACTGCCGGAGAAGAGGGGCAGAGAGAAGCCCTGGATGGTTAACAGATACAGTGATACAGGGACCCATTGTGAAACTCATTCAGGGCCAAGGCAGTTGGAGGCATAGGCTGTAGCCACAGGGGGTGGTGATGGCGGGAGGAAGGCCCTCAAGTGCCAGGATAACTCCCGAGCCGGCAGAGGGCTTGTATGGAAACGGTGTCTTCCTCTCCTTCTGGGCAGGTGGTGGAGGCCTGGGTTTAAGGGGCATGGAAAAAATGTTCCCTCCCCTAACTCGCATTCCTTCCAGGGCTGACCCAGGATACCTCTCAGAGTTCTTTCTCAGCCTCCCGGAGGAAAGGGGAAAACCTCGTGGGAGTCCAGTGAGGTTTCGCGCCTCCCCAGGTAGAGCGCCGCCGCCAGGCTCTGGTGGTGAGCCGAGACCCTCCCCGCTGCGTCTGCCGGGAGGGGCAGGGGAGGGGGAGGGAGGGAGCGAGCGGCGCCGGGGGCGGGGCCGGGGCGGGCCGCCGGGGCCCCCAATCCCCTTCTTTCCCCGCCCCTTCTCCGTCCCCCGACCCCTTTCCACCAACCGAGCGCCGCGGTGGGCGGTGCCTGTCGCAGCAGCCGGCCTGGACGCGATCTTCCCCCCCTCCTTTTTTTCCTCTGTTTTTCCGTTTTTTTCCCTTTCTTTTTTTTGTGAATGAAAAAAGGAGGTCGCGAGCGGTCTCCGGGACTGCAGCGCGAGGCGTCTTGGCGGCCGCGCCTTGGAGCTGCCCGGCGCGGAGCAGCGTCGGCCTCGCCCCTCTCCTCCGCTCCCGGGCGCCGCCTCCCGCCGCGAGCCGGAGGACCGGCGGCGGTGGCGCGGCCCGGCCGCCCGAGGTCGGAGCGGCGGCGCGCAGCCGCCTCCATGACGCTGGGCGCCTGGGGCGCGCGGCGATGCTGATCCGGAAGAGGCAGAGGCTGCAGAGCCGCGCGCGGCCGCTCCCGGCCCGCCGTCCGGCCGGGGCTGCTTTGTCAGAGTTTCTGAGCTGACGCGACCCGGGTCCGGAGCGTGTAGCGGCAGCGGCGGCAGCGGCGGGGCGGCGCCGGCATCGTCCTAACTTGCACGCACGGAGTGACCCTAGACATTTCACTAAAATGAGCGTGCTTAGCAGGAAGAGATGTGTTCCTTACACTAGAAATTACCCCGTCACATGTAGAGGTGTAAGTAAATGATTAATTTCTATTATGGCCGGGTTGCAAACAGCCTCTGGAAACGCGCCGCTTCTCCTGCGCTCTCCGGGCCCTGTCTTCGCCCCTCCTGACATCCCCTCGGCTCTCGCTCGTCCCTTGGCTGTAGCTTAGGCTGCTGGGCTCTCGGGGGCGGGGGACTAACCTTTTCCGGGTTTTTCTAGGGAAAGGAAGATGACTTGATGGCCTTGGCGTCTCGCAGCCTTTCCCCTTCCCCGTTTTTTAATTTTAATTTTTGTCTTGTGTGTGTGCAGAGCCGCGTGTCGGGAAAAAAGGTCCAGAGTGGTGGAAATGTTTCTCTTAAAACCCAGTGGAATTTGGGTGCTTTGCTCGTCGTTTCGGAGATCTTTCTTTCAATCCAACTCCACTGCAGTCTGTACATCTGAGTTCTGGCAAACTACTGGGAGAAGAAATCCTTAGCGTTGTTTGTCGATGTTTCCGCATTTTAGGTTTGAGAAGGCTTATTCGGTATTCAGGCTTCTAGTTTTTGTTAATATGACCGTTCAAGATCCCCTTGGGCCTTGCTGTTCATTGGCTCTGCAGGGGAATTCATCTCCCTGCCTTTCACCATATTACAATGTCAGCCACCCCTTGGGAGCCTCCTTTAATGCCGAGGCCACCCTCTCTTCTCTTCTCTTCCCGATTCTCCCTTCTCTTCCCAACCCAGCCTCCTTGATTTTTGCCTTCATTTTCAGGATATTCCTCCCTTTTGCATTTTGTAAGATGCAGGATGTGGGATATTGGTTGCTAGGAGACAAGCCAGGCTCCCGGGGAGATTCTGTCGTTTCCTTGACAACCAGACTAGGGCAGCTACAGATGAACAAGCCTCCTATCAGCTGTGGGAGGGAAGGGGGGGTTTTCTGGGCTCTGCAAAGAGTGTGTGTAGGGTTGTGGGAGGTGGGAGTGGGAGCCCAGGAGGGTTGTAGCTAATCTGAGCACACCTTGCATTTTGGCCTGGCCTGAGCGCACAGCTGGGAGAGCAGTGAGCAGGATGCTGTTTTTGGAGAGGGGCACAGGGACCATGGGATGGGGTGGGGAGGGAGCTCCAGGCAACTCTGGGATCATTGAGGGCGTGCAGTGATTTGGGGTTGTGATATCCAGGGCAGGGTGGCAAGGAAGCCATAGTTTATGGAGGTTAGTCAGGAGGCTCAGAAGGAATGGAGATGAGGTAATTGTGCGGAAAAGTCTAGAGTCATTGAAGGAGAATGCCAGAGGGAGAGGGTAGGTTAAGAATCTCATTGGGTGGGTCGTATACATTAGCAATCATACAATAAAGTAACAATATTCTAGAGCAAAAATGACATTAGTTGGCATTGGCATGCTATCTTTTGTACAGGATCCTCAATTAAGACAGGCCTGATTGAACTAGGAGTTCTGCTGGCTTAACTGAGCCAGTCTGTATCTTAAGAAAGAGAGAACTTACACATGGAGATATGTAATCTAGCATTATATAATAACACCACATTACATAAGAAGACAAATACCTCCTTTCAGCCTAGGCTCTCTTGGCACAAATTCACCAAGCTTTAGGATACCTTCTTCCAAAGCTCTCATACCCATTTTCCAGGAGGGCAGACTGATGCCTAGAGAAGTGAAGTGATTTGCCCTTTCCTAAATATGACAATGAAGTTTGCCAGTTAGGCAGTTGGGACAGGGGTGGAGTGGGTGGGAATGATGAAAATAGGGAGGAAGTCGAAGTACAAGCAGAGGAGGCAAGCAGGGGCAGCTGGGGAATGGATGGGGAGGGGCGCTCAGCCTGGCAGCAGCCAGCAGGTCTGCTGTCTAACCTCTCAGCAGTGCTTGGCGCTGTCCTACTTGTTGGTTGGCCATCCCCTACTTAACCCTAGAGGTACGTAAGGTGTGAGTGAGTGTTTTAGTCATAAACTCGCTGATCTTGGACCGGCACTGCTCTGCTGGTGTTCTGGCAGCCTCCTTACCATCAAGATACTCCTGGATTTAAGAACTGATGCCCCTCCTTTGTGCCTCCTCATCCCCCTTCTGCCTATACAGCTACATGCTTCTAGAATCTAAATTTGAGAAAGAAGTTCTATTGGCTGGTGGGCTTTTCTTTCTCCTACAGCTGTACGTATTTGTATTTGGGGTTCTATCTGTTTTGTTCTTCAATCGATAAAACAGAAACCACAACCCAGATGATTCCTCCCAGTGCCAACCCATCCTCTCAGCTGCCTGACTTGAGACTAGGGACTGTCCAAGTAGGGTTCCCAGTTGGTCCTCAGCTCAGGAGAGAGAGCAGGGAGGAGGCAAGATGGTGGTTAGAAAAACCATTGCTGGCTGGGGAGGACGAGGAGGGGTGGAGGAGGGAGAAGGAATGGTGTGGACTGTTGCCCTGGAGTCGGGGATGGGGACCTGCCTGGAGACCCCTTGTGGTTTAGAGTCCTGATCCTGTAAACTTCCAAGAAGAAGGAGGCTCTTGGCTCATTGAAAAGTCCTTGCTGTACTTTTTGCTTAGGTTGCCGAGACGTATCCACTCGCGCAAATCCCAGTTGCCACTGTTACTTGGATATTTCAGCTCTGCATTCCTGCATGCTGGCATCCAGTCACAGCCCGGCAGGAATGGAGCAGCTCTCTTGCTGCTGGTGGCCTGGCTCTTGGGCTGGATGGCTCAGCAGTGAGGGCGTCTGGGCAGCCTCCAGGACTCCTCTGAGCGCAGCCTTCCTTGGCCTAGGAAGGATTCTTCCAGGTTGCTCCAGCCCCCAGCTGACTTCATGCACACTGGGTATGTGAGCAAGGGCAGGCCAAAGACCCTGGCAAAACCCAGCTCCCCAATAGTGCTTGCCCTACACTTACTCACCCCCTCACCCCCAACCCTTCCAGGAGGGTGGATGCCAGCTGGGAGGCTGCCAGCGAAAGTCCCCTCAAGCCTCCTGGTGACAGCTTTTTGAACACTGATGTGACATTTTGACTGCAGAAGGGCCTTCTGTTTGTTAATTTGAGCCATCCTTCTCTGTGGGTGGACAAACCACTCCCTCTCTGCCCAACACAGAAGGAAACTGAGGCAAGCATTTACCCAGAAATCCAGGCCCATTTTTGACCCTCTGCTTGCCCCAGAAACCCTATTACCTGGGCAGTCAATTTAGCAAGCATCCTTCCAGGAGTGTCAGGTGTCTCGGGCTTCCAGCTTGAGAACTCTCCTCCCTAGGAATGGGAAGTGCAGAAGGTCCCATCCTGAGACTGGATGCAGGATGCTTGGAGGGCAGGCTTGGGTAGGTGATGGGAGGGCCCACTGGCCATGGAGTGTATTATCCCAGGCCCGTGGTTACCCCCACTTCCATCTTAGAACTGGACCTGCAGCTGAGTGAACCACACAGGTCACATGAGAGAACCATGAGAGGGGAGGCCCGTGGGCCGCTGAGGTGCACCCAGAGGCCTCCCCAGATCAGAGAGACTGGGAGGAGAAAGTTTGGTATCTCCGTAAAGGGGAGTCGGAGCTAGGGCTTGGAAATCCACAAGCAGAGAGGGAGAGAGGCAAAGGTGGAGGCCAGGAATGCTGCACCCAGCTCTAAGTCCATTAAACTTTAAAGTGGCCCTGCCCTCAGGCATGCTGGGAAGGGTGGGGACCTGGCCCCGACTCTGCTTCTCTCAGCTGTTTGTTGTTCTGCTGCCACAGCCCTGCTGGTAGGAGGAGGAGAGCAGAGAAGTGAGCTTCCCAGGCAGATTCTTCTCTTTCTGGGAGAGTGGGGACAGGCCCTGGGCAGGCTCCGCCTTGGGACCTCTCACAGCCCTCCCCCGTTTGGAAGCCCAGTTGGAGGATGGTGGCAACAGGAGGGGCACGAGCGGCTCATCCCGTGGGACTGCCCCTCTCAGCCTGAATGGGCTCCCGCCTCCTCGGCCCCTGCAGAGCTGTTGCCCAGAAAGCTACTCCCTTCTCCTCCTCTCCGCTCCAGGGCTTGAAGAGGGGGCAGCCCTGGCTGAGGAGAGCTGCTGGCCCTGGCCCTCAGGGAGCTGGTGTGCGAAGCTGTCTTGACTGCTTCTCTCCTCTCCGTCAGGTCCCAATTAATGGATTCTGACATGGATTATGAAAGGCCAAACGTAGAGACCATCAAGTGCGTTGTGGTGGGGGACAACGCCGTGGGCAAGACCAGGCTCATCCGTGCCCGGGCCTGCAATGCGACCCTCACCCAGTACCAGCTGCTTGCCACCCACGTGCCCACAGTTTGGGCCATCGACCAGTATCGGGTGTGCCAGGAGGTAAGGTTGCAAGGCCTCCTGGCTGGGGGTCCACGCTGTGCATCTGGGCTTCTTCCCAAGCTGTAGCCCAGTGTCTCCAAGTAGGGCCTGTGCTGAGCTCACGGACCCTCCCCTGGTGTGGGATGGGGGCAGCTGAAGAGGAAGGAGCCCCTGGAGAGAGGTCAAAGAGGAGCCCACCGCGGGGGAGTGGTCTTTGCCCATTTGTGGTTTGCATGGCTGAGCTGGTACCTCGGACCCCAGCTTTGCCTGGGGCACGGCATCTCGTGCAGTTACAGCCCCCAGTAATGGGAAGAACTGAGGGGGCTCTTTGGAGAGAAGAGAGCTGAGAGGAGGAAAGAAGCTGCCAGCTAATACCGAAAGATCAGAGGCTCGTAAACATGCGATTTGCAGGGGAAGCTAGAACAAGGGCAGGCTCCCTAAGAGATCCCTTCCACGCCTGTAACAGTCTGCCCTCTTAGGGTCTCGCCTTCTGGCCAGCAGGGAGGCTGCCTTGTTATTGAGTCTGCAGAGATGGCACCTGGATAAAAGTGGTGTGCAGGGTAGAGAGGTCCTAGCCCTGTCCCTCTACCCCCTTGCTGCCTGGGAACCGGGGTGGAGGGGCGGTGAGCTGGCACCACCCTGAGCTGATATGCAGAGACCCTAACAACTGCTGCCTTGATTCCCATGCCTCCCTGCCCCACCCAGGTGCTGGAACGCTCCCGAGACGTGGTAGATGACGTCAGCGTCTCCCTTCGCCTCTGGGACACCTTTGGAGACCACCACAAAGACCGTCGCTTTGCTTATGGGAGGTAGGGAAGGCCTCTGGCTGCCTCAGGGAGCCAAGCAACGGAGCAGCTCAGAAATATAAACTGGGAGGAAATAGCAACAGCAGAGCCTCGCAGGGGCGGCGGCCGGGGCCGGGGAAGGAGCCTGTCTGGGGGCAAGAGGCCTGGGTGGAGTCCTAGCCCTGCCGCCTGCTAGCTCTGTGACTTTGAGCGATTAGGAGAACTGTTCTGAGATGGTTTTTCTGAGCCATGACATGGTAAAAATGGCAATTTCTTACTCACAGGGTAACTATGAGGTCAAAATGAGAGTCTTTGAAGCTCTAAAATGCTAAATTAGACATAAATTAGGGGTACTATTATTGTACGTTTTATGTAAGCTCAAGTGAGCAGGTCCATAGGACAGATGTGGGACTGTTTCTACGGGTAGGGGTGGGGAGGCATGTTCTCCCTCATTTCAGGGGCAGGTAACCTGCCGCTGCTTTCTCTGCCCATAACCTCACTCTCCCACCCCCAGATCCGATGTGGTGGTTCTTTGCTTCTCCATTGCCAACCCCAATTCCCTCCACCATGTCAAGACCATGTGGTACCCAGAAATCAAGCACTTCTGCCCCCGAGCACCTGTCATCTTGGTGGGCTGCCAGCTGGACCTGCGCTACGCGGACCTGGAGGCTGTCAATAGGGCCAGGCGACCCTTGGCTAGGTAGGGGATGCTGGTGCCTAGGGAGGGGAAGGAGGAAGACAGAGGGAGGGGCGCGTCTCCATGGCTCCCTGTCAGCCCTGAGGGAATCCACTGAGCCTTACATCTCTCCCTCCGTTTGAAGCAAGCTCATGTAGAGAGCCAACAAAAGTGCTCATTCTTTCATTCACTCGTCCATCTATCCATTCATTCATTCATCTGTTACACACTGTGTGGAAAATACTGGGCTAAGCATCATGAGGAGAGAAGGAGAACAGGAGGTAGTCTGCGTGAAAGGGCTTATAATATTGCTGAGAGATGAACTGAATACGTGAACATGTTAAAAACCAACGTGGAACATGGCGTGCTAATTGTTAGAGAGATAGTTAGTGCTACCACTTCTTTGAGCTAGGGAGATCACCAGGGCCTGGCATAGATACGGAAGGCTCCTGGAAGAAGAGGGGATTGGAAGTGGGCCCTGAGGACTGGTAGGATTTGGCCAGGCAGAGGAGGAAAGGCAGAGATCAGTGGAAATGAGCAGAACAGGAGTGAGGCCAGGGCCACAGATGCTGAGCAGAGACCTTCCCACCAGGTGCAGAAAGACAGGCTCTGGAGAGCTGCTTTTCCCCACCCTTACAGTCCGCCATCAACATGAGTTTGGTTTCCCTTCAACCCACCAGGCCCATCAAGCCCAATGAGATCCTTCCTCCGGAAAAGGGTCGGGAGGTGGCCAAGGAGCTGGGCATCCCTTACTATGAGACCAGTGTGGTGGCCAAGTTCGGCATCAAGGACGTCTTTGACAACGCCATCCGGGCGGCGCTCATCTCCCGCCGGCACCTGCAGTTCTGGAAGTCCCACCTCCGCAATGTGCAGCGGCCTCTGCTGCAGGCGCCCTTCCTGCCTCCTAAGCCACCTCCTCCCATCATCGTGGTGCCCGACCCCCCCTCCAGCAGTGAGGAGTGCCCCGCCCACCTCCTGGAGGACCCGCTGTGCGCGGATGTCATCCTGGTGCTGCAGGAGCGGGTGCGCATCTTTGCCCACAAGATCTACCTCTCCACCTCCTCCTCCAAGTTCTACGACCTGTTCCTCATGGACCTGAGTGAGGGGGAGCTGGGGGGCCCCTCGGGGCCAGGGGGCCCCCGCCCAGAGGACCACCGGGGTCACCCTGATCAACACCACCACCATCACCACCACCACCACCACCATGGCCGGGACTTCCTGCTTCGGGCAGCCAGCTTTGATGTGTGTGAGAGCGTGGAGGAGGGTGGGGGATCTGGTCCTGCTGGGCTTCGGGCCTCAACCAGCGACGGGATCTTACGGGGCAACGGAACAGGGTACCTGCCGGGGAGGGGTCGAGTGCTGTCTTCCTGGAGCCGAGCTTTTGTGAGCATCCAGGAAGAGATGGCAGAAGATCCACTGACCTACAAATCCCGGCTGATGGTGGTGGTAAAAATGGACAACTCCATCCAGCCGGGGCCCTTCCGGGCCGTTCTCAAGTACCTGTACACAGGGGAGCTGGATGAGAAGGAGCGGGACCTCATGCACATTGCCCACATTGCTGAGCTGCTCGAGGTCTTTGATCTGCGCATGATGGTGGCCAACATTCTCAACAATGAGGCCTTTATGAACCAGGAGATCACCAAGGCCTTCCACGTCCGCCGGACGAACCGGGTTAAGGAGTGCTTGGCAAAAGGCACCTTCTCAGGTATGGAATGTGCTTAGGGACTCACGGCCAGGAGGCAGGGGAGTTCCCTCCAAGCAGCCCTCTGAGGAGTCCGGGTTGGTTTGATTAGCATTCTGAGTCATCTCAGCTGCTGTGTGTCCTGGAGATGTGGTAGTTGTGCTCCTGAAGCCTTGTGCCCCAAGCCTGCGAGCTGGTCGCACAGCGCTGCAAAGCTTGTGGCTCAGAAGGAGGCAGCTTGTCTGGGCACACTGTCGCCCCTTGGGGTTGGGTGTCTCACATTCTTTCACCACATCCTCACGTGGTGCCTCTTCTCCTGGCCAGATGTGACCTTCATCCTGGATGATGGCACCATCAGTGCCCACAAGCCCCTGTTGATTTCCAGCTGTGACTGGATGGCGGCCATGTTTGGGGGACCGTTTGTGGAGAGTTCTACCAGGGAGGTAAGGCTCGGATGAGAATGGGTGGGAAGGGGAGAGAGACTCAGACCCTTTGCATCTGAGGCACTGTCATTTGGTGATACTTTTCTCAGCACTGACTGTGTGCTAACCGCTGAGTGACAGGCCCAAGAGAAGTTTGAGATGGTTCCCATAGCTAAGGATTTTACAGTATATCAGGACAGGGAATTGTAGTAACATCTTAACTTTATAGTTTAGAAAGTGCTTTCAACCCATTATCTCATATCGTCTCACACATGCCTCTTATACATAGCATAGCGTTCCCACTTTATACACAAGGAAGCTGACGGCCTGAGAAGTTCAGTCACTTGGGTCAAGCTGTGTAAGTAGAAAGGAGAGGTTGGGACTTGAACTCAAGACTTCTGATTCCTTGGCTCTATACATTGTAGCATGCTTTCTCTCTGACACATGTGAAACAACTAGAAAAAATTCAGTGTGTCCCAAACTGAATCCATCACTGTTTTAAAAAGTAGATTTTATTGTTATTGAGGTATGGTGAAGCCAACAGATGAGGAGAAAACAGCCATTGAAAAGGTAGATTGTTATACTCACAGATCTCAACAGGAGGGGCATGCACAGCACGGAGGGCTGCACCGGGAAGCACCAGGGCTGGTCAGGAGGCAGGGGGAGGAAGGGGAGAATGTGGACAGGAGCCTCTACTGTGCTTTCCATGGGAAGCAGGCAAAGCAGGGCAGGCAGGTTTAGGATTGGCTGGTTTCCATAACTTTAACGTGCTCTGGGGCATAGGGTCTGTCCCGAGTCGTTGGCTGCTTGGCCCTGGGGTGATGGGGGCAGGGGGATAGTGGCCTGGAGTGTGCCAGCTGATAAAGGAGGTGGTTGTGGGTGTGGGTTCTGGATTGGTTGGTTGGCATATGAAAGGTGTGCTCTCAGGAGAGTCCTTTTCTATCTCTAGGAATTGGCTACCCTGGGAGGGGCAGTCTCTCCAGAGTCAGCAAGGCCCCCTATTTCAGAGCATCAGAACACAGACAATAGAAGACAAGCTTCGTGTAATCGCCTTTCCCTCTCATCAGGGCCACTCTGATTCACCTGTTCTCTCACTGATTCTGCTACTTTCCCAGGCGCTGGGACTGGAAATGCAGAGTTGGAAGGGGCCTATCAACGTTTCCCTTAGAAATAGTCTCTTAAGTCTGTTCTCTCCTTTGCATTCTTCCAGCCAAGCAAGGAGCCCAGGCCATGGGCCTTGGTGTCCTCCATCTTTGAATGACTGTAATATTGATTGTCTATCACTCAGCCTTGTAGTTAACAAGCTACTACTTTGTGCAGCTGCTGAAAGTTCGGAGTGCCCACACGCAGTTTTCCCAGCTGGTCTGTGATTTCTTTTGAAGGTGGGGACTAGGTCTTTTACTTCTACCAAGTAGCCCCCTCAGCGCTGGTCACTTAGTAAGTGCTCACCAAACACTCAGCAGAAACTGGCTAAGAACAATGCAGCATAGTGTCCTTGACACAGAATAGGAGTTTCCTAAGACTTCTGGGAAGGAAGTCCTTGGAGAAGGCTAAGTGGGGGGTTGAGGTTTGAGTCAGTCTCTGATCCTTGAAGCTGAGTGGGATTTGGATATGCAGAGTGTGACACGAGGCGCTCTGCAAAGCCCCAGGGGCCTGCCCGCCCTCGGTTCTCCTCAGCACCATGGAAGCCAGCTTGAGAGCCCAGGCGATTCCCAGGGCAGCTGGGAGACTTGTGTCTGATGAGAGCAGTTTTGCTGCTGCGCTGCTCCAAAGACATCCCCGAGGCCCGAAGCAGCAGCTTCGAGCACCTGGCTTTGCTCCCTCCATATCCCAGTTGCACTGCTCCCTGCAGGGCCGGCAGGGCCCGGGGTGTAGGCTTAGGTGACTAGAAGGGCCCCTCAAGCATCCTCCAAGCCGGAATGGCTTCGGGAGGATGCCAGTGAGATCCAGGTCCTCTAAAAAGCTATCAGAGCGCTGCTCGCTGGGGCTGTCAGCAGACGGGCTCTGCACAGGTTGTTGCTCTGGGAAGCAGGCCTTTAGGGGGCTTCTGAGCGGGTGTAGGGGCAGCCTGGGGGTGGCTCCCTGTCTGAGGGAGACCAGCGATGTGGGCCAGGGCCTTTTGAGTTTCTCCGAACTGAGTGACTCTCCCTAAAGCTGGACCTCACTGCAGCCTGCTCTGTTCCTTCCCACCGCAGGTTGTGTTTCCTTACACAAGCAAGAGCTGCATGAGGGCGGTGCTGGAGTACCTCTACACGGGCATGTTCACCTCCAGCCCCGACCTGGATGACATGAAGCTCATCATCCTGGCCAACCGCCTCTGCCTGCCGCACTTGGTTGCCCTCACCGGTAACTAACCAGAGCGCTCAGGGACCTCCTGGGAGAAGGCAGGGAAACCTCAGGAGTCATTATTTCTCCTCTCATCTGTCTCCTCCTAGGGGACAGGCTGCTAGCACCAAGGGAATGCGTTTACAAAAAGTGAACTATATCGGTGTGTATTGGGGTTTGGGTGGGGACATAGACGTAAAGAAGCGTGTGTGAGAGAGACGCTTGATGGGTCATGTTATAGGCTCTCTCCAGAGGTGATTTCAGCCCCACAAAGTGCTCTCCAATCGATGATAGCACGTGGTGTTCCTATTAGCTTGACCTCACTCAGGCCAGCTTAAGAAGTTGAGAGTGAAGCGCACTTCCACCTTCCCACCCTTTGGTTCCTCTCCTCCCCCTCCTCCTCAAAAACCAAGTCAAATCTGGATATTCCTATGCTTAAAACCTTTCAATGATTTCCATCTCATTCAGACTAAAATCAAGTCTTAAAATGACCTTCAATACCCTACTTGATCTAGCCTCTGCCACCTGTCCTACCACCTCTCTGACCACTGCCCGCTTCACTCACTCTATTTCAGTCACACTGGCCTCAAGAAGCGTGTGTGAGAGAGACGCTTGATGGGTCATGTTATAGGCTCTCTCCAGAGGTGATTTCAGCCCCACAAAGTGCTCTCCAATCGATGATAGCACGTGGTGTTCCTATTAGCTTGACCTCACTCAGGCCAGCTTAAGAAGTTGAGAGTGAAGCGCACTTCCACCTTCCCACCCTTTGGTTCCTCTCCTCCCCCTCCTCCTCCCCCTCCCCTCCCCTCCCCCTCCTCCCCTCCCTCCCCCTCCCCCTCCTCCTCCCCCTCCTCCTCCCCTCCTCCTCCCTCCTCCTCCTCCTCCTTCTCCTCCCCTCCCCCTCCTCCTCCCCCTCCTCCTCCCCCTCCTCC